GTAATTATTCGCGCGAAATATTCGTATTCGTAATTCGCGCATTTTATTTTCTGTTTACATCTAGGCTTATTTTGATTGGTCAAATCTTGGCTGAGTTCAAAATCACCAATGCGTGACTGTCGTAAATCAGTGGCGTACGCTAATCTGGGGTCTGTTGCTCGATTATCGTACGCCAGTGATTGCGCGATAATACTGGCGTTCGCTACGCCGCGCACAAGTTCACACCACTCGATTAACGTTACGCTAGCGTAAAACGTTGTGTCTGAACATAGCCTATTCCAGGCCAAGCCAAATGTTTGTTGAAGCGCGCATGTGCCTTGCTCGCGGCAAATTTGAGATATCGTGCGCACAAAAATGGAAGGAAAGGTAGAATAAAAAAAAAGATGAAGATCTCTGACAATAACAAGAGGTGATCCGCACTTCACCAAAAAAAAAATCTCTGACAATAACAAGGTGATCCGCAAATTCTGCGGATCACCAATGATCCTGACAATTACAAGACGTGATACGCTCGAGAAGCGGATCACCTAAAAGATGATCCTGACAATAACAAGAGGTGATCCGCTCGAGAAGCGGATCACCGAAAAAAAGATGATGATCCTGACAATAACAAGAGGTGATCCGCTCGAGAGCGGATCACCAATAATAATAGTTGGATTTATATTGTACATTAGCACAAAAGTCCAAAAGCACTTGAAACGTAGACTAGCTGGTACAGAAACTTTATTCTTCCCTATTCTTCTTTGTGTCCATGCCCGTTTTTCCACTATAGGGGTTGGTCTAGTACACTGGGGTAAGCCACTACTCATTTTGAAAGATGTACTGTGTTCTTTAAAAACATGAGATAATTGTGTATATCCATATCCGAGAAAACTAATTGCTCCACCTCCAGAACCATAGGCGAGCGTGCCAATATTATGGCTGTAGTTGCGGCACCCCTGCTTTAATTCCGTTCGGCTATCCGACTGGCCTAATATTACCACTCACTATTTCCAACAATATCAGATCTCAGGCGCAGGTCCAGGATTTTCTCCGACCTTCGCACAGATGGGGTGGTCCTTGCAGACGTGGATCCATAAATTCAAAAATAGAAGGTGCCCAGAGAGAGACCTTCACAGATAGGCACCTCAGCCCCACCATGGTTGAAGCTCAGTGAGGTAAAGAGAAATTAAGATTATAAGTCGCCTCTAGGTGGCACTCACAGGATTTTAATATAATTTTCAGTTTCTTCTCCATACTTTAAAAATAATTTTGAAATATTTACGGGGACATGGGCCCACTGGGTTCCCATTGAATCCACCACTGCATGGAGGAATCCTCTAACACTCAGGTGACCTAGGGTTTTAAAACAAATACAGTATTGCTTATTAATGAATTTCTATAAAAAGATATATGAACAGATTCGTGAGATGGATGACTGGGTGGTTGTTATATACAACACATTGAATATCAACTATAAACAACATATTAGCCCTGTATGGAGATATTATCCCCTGTATCAAGAACTTTGAGGCCACGAAGGTTAGCATTTGCTGGACATTGCTACATAAGTAAAAAGTTATTTCAAGTGTTCTCTCTTGGGAACCAACCCATGGGAATGGGACTACATACATCGAGCAATTAGAAAAGGATCTAAACACACAGCGGCAGTACCACAACTGCACACAGGACCAATGGCTTAAATGTCTCATCTGAAAGACGGTGCGCTATTGTAACTTGCATTTCAGCCCTCCAGCTGAAACACAAGGAGAGCAGCGATGGGAATTGAACAGGAGACCTAGAGATCTTCACGGTTCAGCGCACACACATTGGCTACCACCAAATTAACTGAGTGAGCTAAGCTGCTTTCCACTTGGGGATCAGATTCAATACTAGTCACTTGGTTGACATAGTTTTGGGCTGAATAATTCATATTTAGTATTTGGGAACGTACTGAGTAGTCAATATGATAACACGTCAGGTAGGGCAAAACATACTCCAATCATACCTTTATTACAGACTATTACAGAGTTATTTCTCCAATCCCTCCACTCAATCACACACCTAAAAACCCAGGTAATAATAATTTTTTATTAATCATTTTTCCTGATCTTTGACAAATTTACATATCATCATATTTTAGATATTTATTATTTAGATTTGTGGCCATTTTATTTTACTTAAACTTTTTAAAACTACTTTCTTCTGATCATAATTAGAGATCTTACTTATACTTTTTAAAACTACTTTCTTCTGATCATAATTAGAGTACCAAATACCAATTATCATTTTAGTAATATACAGATTACCAATCCTCACCTGGTTCTGGTTCACGTGTTTTGCTATCTTCTGACACTATTAGAGTAAAGTTTGCTGATCCAGAATAAATGTTTTCTTTTATTCCACATGTAATGCTGGTCCCATTCTGCTCAGCAGTTATATTTTCAGTACTCATTATTGGTGCTCTCATACCTTTCCATACGTATTCATCATCCGGAGACATGGGGGTTATACACCAAGTGAAGTTGGCATCTGATGTTTTATTTCCTTTGCAAGTGAGTTTAACAGGCTGTCCAGCTTCGTAGCTTTGGTTGCTTCCTTCAATTTGCACATTCAATTTTTCTACAGTAGGCTTATCTATATATATATATATATAATATATATATAGATTAACATATATTAATCAGAGAATTTCATCTGGTCTTTTGGGTGTAATACAGATGAAAATTTCTTTTAATTAGACCAAAATAATAGCAAAAAATACCGTACTTGCTTATTTTTGTTGACGGTACAATCAATAAAAGTATATTATGGCATTATTTTGATCTAATTTCCCTTCATCTCCATTCCCACAAACACCTTAATTACGTATAATTTGTGCGACTTGAGTGCACGTGCCTCGTTGACTGAGAAGTATGAGAAAAAGTGTGCAAGAAAAGATTGGTGTTCGGCACATGAAGTAGATAAAGTAAAGTAAATACATCAAAGACAATAAAGTTTTATTTTCTATGGTACCGGTACCGGTGATTAATTAGATTGAGGATGATGAATTTTACTATAAGAGTGTCATTTGAAGAGATTTGAAGTAGGTAAAAGTAAATACATCAAAGACAATGTGTTTAAGTTTTATTTTCTATGGTACCGTACATTACACTAGATCTCTATGGTTGCCGAAAAGAGGTGATATCTCAGTATCTTTATTCATAAATTCAAAACAAAACAACTACAATATCAAATCCTTAGCAGCCAGAGGCTGAATTGGGGATTCAATTTACAAAATAGAAAACTTGAATAAAATTTACAATAAGTCATGTGATAAAAGATCGTGAGAATTATGGCGCTTCATTTTGACTACGGTATATATATTACTAGAAATTGCAAATTGCAAGTGAAGTGCTGCGAAGTACAACTGCATATAAATGTTCTTTGAACAAAATTATTTATGCGAGTCAAGTGAAAATAATGAATAATAAAAATATAACAAATAATAGGCCTATGAGACACGATCCATTGTCTATATTAGAACACTTCTCATTGGGTAACAAAGTCGTAATTTTTCATTTTTGTCAAAAAGTGTCTATAGTGGTGAATTATGGTGTAGGTTTTTTTTTTAATAAAGTTTCAAAAATTTCTATGTATGTGGAAAATGTAGTTGATTACCAAAGTTGCAATTTTTATTTTGAAGACTGCATGGTCTAGGTAGTGTACATTTTTTATGGGGCAAGTTTCCAAGGGCGGGTTTTCTAGGGGCTAGTTGACTGCCAAAGATTGTTGCCAAAGTGCGAGCCAGCGTGTTATTTGATAATGAGTGCAAGACATCGCAAGTGTGAGCCAGCGAGCCATGACGTCACGACAATAGATACGAGATGTTACTCGAGTTGTGCGAGGTATCGGCTGAGATAAAAAAACAACTATAGGTCTAATATTATGAATTATTGTGATGTTAAAGAGACAATGTTAGCTATCAAGGAGCGACGTTGTTTTTCATTGGGACCTTCGTTCCTTCAAGGCTAGGCCTATACCATCCTAGCTAGTCTAGGCCTAGAGTAGGATAAGGCTAGCTCGACATGCGGACGTTGGTACGTGTTGGTTAGTCTACAAACATCGCCTAAAGTAATTGATTTTATCCGGCAGAACGAAAGAAGGAAACTCCGCTTTTCAGTCGTCTTAGGCCCTTGTTTTTTGACAAACAATGACCTTTCAGAGGTCAAATTGCTGTCAAGAATATGAATTGGCTGCTTCGCAGCAATAATGTTAATGTGATGATGATGAAATTTACTCTAAAAGTGTCATTTCTGGCCATCTACAGGTACTTACTATCCTCAAATGTTCTCACCTTAGCAGGCGCGGATCCAGGATTTCCCATGAACTTCTCACAGATGGGGTGGTCCTTGCAGTGGTGGATCCAGAAATTGAAAATAGAGGGTACCCAGAGAGTGACCTTCACAGAAAAACACCTCAGCCCCATCCCCCCCCCCCCCAATGGTTGGGGCTGAGGTAAAAAAAAATATAGTTTTCAGTTTTTTTTTTTCTCTCCATTCCTTAATATAATTTTGAAATATTTACGGGGCCCGGGCTGGGGTTCCCCTTGAATCCACCACTGCATGGGGGAATCCTCTAACGCTCAGGTGACCTAGGGTTTTAAAACAAATACCGTATATACTTGCATATAAGACGAGGCTTAAAATATCAAATTACAATCGAAAAACGGGGATCGTCTTAAACGCATGACATTAAAATTTTAGATTTTTATAATCAAGTTCGTTTTATGTGCGGATCGTCTGTAACACGCGAACTTACTACTGTAAGAAAGCAACTAAATATTACATGAATGAATGCAATTTTAAATACGGGGAAATACGATTTTGGTGGTGAAGATTTAAAAACTAATATAAAATTATTATTATTTAGAAGATTACCCTTGCATTTAGCTCTATGTAGCCAGCTAGATGCAGTATCTAGTACGGTATCCAGTAGACCACAAAAAAATTAGGAATTCCGACCATGAAACAGGGGGTCGTCTTATACGCCCGACATACAAATATCAACCAAAAATCTTCTAAAACTCGGGGGTCGTCTTATACGCCGGTCACCTTATACGCGAGTATATATGGAATTGCTTATTACAGAATTTCTATAAAAAGATAAATGAACAGATTCTTCAGAGATAGGACTTAATGGTTGTTATACAAGATTACTCAGACACGCATTGAATATCTATAAACAACATAATGTATGGGGATATTCCCCTGTATATCAAGAACTTTCGAAGGTTAGCATTTGCTGGACATTACAATGAAGTTATTTTAAGGGTTCTCTTTTGGGAAACAACCCATGGGAAAAAGGACGGCCCGACTACATACATTGAACAATTAGAAAAGGATCCAAACACACAGTGGCAGTATATTCAGTGGCGTGACACTAGGGCCGGGGCCCCGTGATTTTCTGAGACTATAGGAGCTCTTTTCCGGTCCCAGTCGCCAATTCCATTGTGGGTTTTAGATGTGTCTTTTAAACATGTTTGCCATTTAATTATACAGTATTATAAATGTTTTTAACGACGAAAAAAATGATATTTTATCAGTGGCGGATCTAGCAAGACTAGTAGGAATTTGAAATTGTACTACCTCAGCCCACCATGATTGGGGCTGAGGTAAGAAATTTATGATTATGGCACAACTACTAGATGGCCGGAAATGGCACTCACAGTCTTTGAATATCATTCTCTTTTTATCTCTATTGTTTTCACAATTGACAAACCTTAATCCGTCACTGGGTATGTTCTACAGTCGATGTCAGAGACACATTATTCTGTTATGTATCAACAAAGTAGCCTACTTTGGGTCAGGGTGTTAGATCGAGGACCTTATGTGTAGGGGCCCAGACCCCTAGGAGGCGAGGGCCCGGCGGACTGCGGCACGAGGGCGTATAGGCCACTGAGTACATTTCACAACTTATGGAAAATAGAGATTTGTGGAGAACAGTCATAACAAAATTTTAACTTTGCTCATCATTAACCGGGTGTGCCTGATAAAGAGAGAAATACAGGGAAGATATTTCTGAGGTGGCGTATCGAGGGAATGGGGATGCTCAGGATGGCTTAGCACTCCCCCTCCACTTTCAGAGGTTAAAAACAAAATAGTACCCATTTTGCCATTTTCTAGTACCGGTACATATTTAATTAATCCGGTTTTTTACACTAAATTAGTCAAAAATAAAAAAGGTAATTTAGGCCTAAGTTCCATTTCGGGCTTCCAGAGGTATAAAATACTATACGGAAATTTTCTCGTTTTTTTTTTTGTGTTTTTTTTTTTTCTGCTGGCGTGGTGTGGACTCTCATTTCATAAGCATAGATGCCAGGCCCAGGTAAAATTGGTAAAAATGCACCTGATCGGACCTAGAGACAGAGCCTTAGTGGGGTTTACTCAGGTGATACTCTTAATGCTCATACATTCTGAGATCTTAAAAAACGGATACGGCATTAATGCTCAGAAATATCTAAAAAATACTGTATATATATTTTTTTAATTCAAGAATATTGAGAACAAACTATGTTCAAGTCATATATATGTTATCCTTTGGGGCCTATTAGGCATTTCATGTGTCTATGATATAGTATAATATTGACAACAATAGAACATGTATAGGTGTAATTTGCCCAACCTGTCGTGAAAATGTACTGAATATTCAGTGCGTGTGAAAACACTTGCCAAAAATAATACCCACTGCTTACTTGGGCTCGAATTTAATTGTCTATTCCATCACAATAATAACAACTACCATAATAGAACAGTCATCGACCTACTTGCAGTGAAGTGAATCTAAAATGTATTCATGAAGTTAGGAAGTGTATGTGTTCCATATGTGCCAGACCCAATAACCGGGTGTAACAATGCTAAGCGTATAGAGATCGCTACAATATGCAATATATAACTCGACAATTATTATTATTAATGAGTGGTTACGTAACCTTTGTTATGCATTGTATCATGCGCTATAGAAGTGGAAGACCATAATGTGATGGGGATGTACCTCTCTGATAGGGCCTACAGTACAATCAGTGTAAAAGTGTAAGGTACCGTATATGATAGTGTGGATTTAAGCATTATCCTAATGGTAATGTTCAAAATACGTGTCAAGGAAAGTAAGTATGATTGTTGGAAAAATGGCAAACATTTTATTTTTATTTCTCACCCTGACCTTCGCCCAAGCGAAGTTCTGGACCCGAGCCTGCCTTAGCCCAAACCATAGTGGAGATGAGGTGCATTTGGACTCACAGTTTTGAAGTAGGTAAAGTAAATACATCAAATACAATGTGTTTAAGTCATAGTTACCAACCTGAAAGATTTGAAAGATTTGAAATGCGTGACTACACCATTTGGCTGGGGGAGGGGATGGGGTCCAGTGGTGGGGCTCCGGTGTGGCCCGTGGCGCTCCGACGACCTGAGCAAAGCTCTTTAAAAATGATTTCAGGTGTGTTTTTTGGCAATACAGATACATAAGCAAAACTATTCTGAATAAAGCCACATACAATTTGTTTCAAGGTATGTTAAATTTGAGCACCAGAACTATATAGATCTAACACACAAATATTTCTTTACTGATCAAGTTTTAGTAACGCGTCAGTGAAATAAGTATTCACGTAATACCGGTACTCCCTAATGACTCGCGTTACTGCATGACCGTTTTTTATATTTTTAATAAAACCAATTTCTTCTAATTTTAAATACATTTTCCTCAAAATTCGCGATAATTCGTTATCACGCATAGACTTAATAGACGCATAGGCTAAATGCGTGACAAATTTAGGATCACGCATGTTTGTTTCTGCAAAATGCGTGTTTCATCCAAAATCACTTTGAAATGCGGGACCGTCTCGCACGATGCGAGACGGTTGGTAACTATGTTAAGTTTTATTTTCTATGATACCGTACATCACACTAGATCTCTATGGTTGCCGAAAATAGCCGACAAAAGATCATGAGAATTTTGTTGCCGCTTCGTTTTGACTATGTATATATTATAATGGTAATGTGATGATGATGAATTTTACTATTTTAAAGTGTCATTTCTGGCCAGGAGGTACTATTTCCTCAAATGTTCTCACCTTATTCCCAACCATCGTGTGGGGCTGAGGTGAATTTGGTCACACGGCTTTGAGGTAGGTCAAGTAGATTAAATACATCAAAGAAAGTGTTTCTTTAGTTTTATTTTCTTTATCACTCATATTAATTAGAAAATCCCTGATTTAAAATCATGAGAAATTTTCTGTCACTTTCATCTAGACTATATTGATAGTGTGATGATGAAGTACTATTTTCTCACCTTATAGCCAACTATTGGTGGGGCTGAGGTGGTTGTGACTCACAGCTTTGAAGTAGGTAAAGTAAATACATCAGACAATGTTTTTAAGTTTTATTTTCTATGGTACATCACACATTAATTAGATTTCTGTGGTTACCGAAAATCGCCAATAAAAGATCATGAGAATTTGCCCTTCATTTTGACTATATAATGGTGATGTGATGATGATGAATTTTACTACATAAAAGTGTCATTACCGGCAATCTACATGTACTTTCCCTAATTTTTTGTACGCATCCCAACTGCCAAATCCTGCATCCGCCCCAGTAGTGCATTTGATCGAGAAATTTTTGACGTCTGACCTACTGTCAATTAGTCCTATGGATACCCTTCTCTAAAGACACCACTCTAAAATTATGCTATTTTTAGCACTGTATAATCATTTTGCCCATTTTTATTTTATGTTTTTTCACATTCAACAACAAAAAGTAACTAGAGCCAATTACAGGATTGCATGGTGTTTTAATTTCATAAGCTTAGAGATTGGAGATATTTTTAGTCGCCAGTCAAACCCCATTGTTTAGCAAGCGTTTTAACCAACAAGCTGTTCATGTGTTTTGAAACATGGGGATCATGCATGAAAGTCCTATACCAACATTAGTCACACCGGGTTTGGGGATATAGGTTTAAGAACATGTCATCTATAAATGGCCAGTGACGCATAGGCCTATTTTTTTTTTCTACAAATTGTTTTTTTCTACAACTTGAAATGCATACAACTTTTTTAATTAGATAGATGTGTTAAATATTTTAGTCAGCAGTATGCCTATAAAAATTAATATTATTATTTATTTATTCTTTCTTTTGACTGGATACATTTTCAATACAAAATTACTGGTCTCCCAAATGGTCCAGTTATTTTTAACAATTTTGGGAATAGAAAACTATTAGGCTTTTGGTTTTATATAAAAAGTTAAATGAGAGACACAAACAAGATTAGTCCTCTGTAAAAAATATTTTTCTCAAGTCAATGTACATGTAACATTGTTGGCTTGAAAAAGTCTGACTCTTTCGAATTTAAGTCACACAATTGATGTAATAATATTAAGCATTATAAATCATTATTCAATCAGTAGGAAGGATCATTGTTTTGCTTTTTTGAATTGTTTCAATATTTTTTTTGTGGTACTGTTTGATAATACAACTGTAAGATATAATTGAATACTTTTTAGCACTTGCTGTTCAATATAGCTTTAAAAATGGTCTTTGTTGTTTTTTTTTTTGAGTATTTTCTACTTTTTAGGCATAAACACATTATTGGTCAAAAAACACTTTTCCTACTAACCTACCCATTTTTTTTATTTTCCCAAAACGTGACCAACACACAATTTTTTTTTTCGGTCTAATGCATGCCATCTGTCCCAATTTAATTATATTTGTACTATTTTTTTAGATTTCACTGAATAATCCACACCTGTAAAATGTGAGGAAAGGTAGATGATTGTACTTTTGCCTTCTGTTGAGTTGAACTCATGCCATAAATGCCCTTTTTCCTAGCTTTTGATCTTATTTTTTAAATTAACAAATATCAAATAACTTTTTTTTATTTACCTTGTATTACATGTAAAACTATTGATTTACTTGCTGATACATCACCTTCCTTGATTTCACATTTGATAATCAATGCATGCATTTCATCTGTGATTGGTATGATGCATTCTGCCTTACATGTTTTCATCATGTCCTGTATTATACAGGTAGCTGGAGATGATGACCAGTGGAAACTGCTTTCATTGGTTCTATTACCTTTACACTTAAATCTTGCGGTGTCTCCTAGATTATGTATATGTGCGCCTTCGATATACACATGCATGTGTTCATCTGTGGGCAAATACATAATATATATTAAGTTTGCGGATGACACTTGCGTAACAAGAATAATAAAAATAAAAATGAAAGGGCTTATTAGACAAGAAGTTGATAACTTAGTAAACTGGTGGAATAACTTCCTTGATTATTAATGCATGTAAAACAAAAACAGTGCTCAAAAATACAATAATAGTGATGTTTGCACTACCAGTGAGTATAAGTTTATGAGTATGAATACATGATAAACTGTCTTGGTCTACAAACACAGAAAAATTGTATAACAAGAAATATTTCCTATAAAAAAAATGCAACATCTTAACTTGTGACTGATTTGTATTTCCAAGCTTTATAAAATAATGTATTCTTCAGGATGACCTACCTTCTTCAATGCATTTCTGTTCTGTGGTGGCTTTAGGATATATTTTTTGGGGAACTAAGCTGTCTGACAGGGGAACTTGAGCTCATAGCTTGTTCAAGGGTTTGAGAAGGAGGTGCCCCCTCCCCCTCCCAAATGAGATTTTTTTTTTTAAATAGCAACCTCTGGATGGCCGGAAGTGGCACTCTCAGACTACGACAGATATGTGTTGTCTTGGTTGGCCTATTTTTATATTTTTTATGGTCTGACTGCCCAACAAGCTCTGTCCGATGGGGACTTGACCTGGCCGGTGGGGGGGGGGCTTAAGCCTCCTGCCCCCACTGGTGCCGCCACTGTTTCTGTTGTGGTATGACATAAAAATAGCCTACAGGAATTGGTTTACAGGTGGTGCACACCCCCTCCAAAAATTACTCCCCCCCCCCCCCCCACCCCTTTCGCCTCCCCCAAAAATCCCTTGCAAGTTGTTAAAAGTCACCTACAATCACCTTCTTTTGCCAGTTAGCGCCCCTCAATTGATCATCGAGCCTTCCCCCACACTCCACTTACCGTACCTTCGCGCCCCCATCAGCGCCCATTCAAGACTTTTACGCCACTGTTTACTACTGGTGTAACAATATCCACTGCATTATTTATATTGCGGTCACAAGATTAAAATAATGAAAAGGCATACCATACTACAGTACTGTACATTAGAAATGTGGAAAGTATAAAATACATAAACCGCTTTAAACGGGGTAGGCCCTATTGTCAGTTTCTGTTGTAATGAACGTACTTAAGATTATGAGTGAGCCCTCTATTGGATGATACATAGAGTAAGGACAAATGAGCAGTGTGACCACTGCTTGGGTATTTACCCAAGATCTTGGGTATTTTGACTTGGTCTTGGGTTCTTGGGTATTCCGTTCAAATCCTTGGGTATTTTATTTTTACTAAGAAAATTAAATATTTTTGTCAAAGATGAAGAATTAAGAAGTAACAAAGTATATTTCAGGCCATTCAAGTAAGCAAAACTCAACGAAGTGCACATAACATTGTTAGTTTGACTGTTAATTGCTATAAACATGGGTTCAGAATTGTTTTTTTGTGATTTGCGTTGCCATTGATCTTACCTAATTACAGTAATGTATTACATAATAAAACTTTATCACTGATCTACTGATAACACCTGGCCGACTGAGGGCGTATTTTTATATCCGTATTATCACCTCATGAATATTAATTTTAATAATTAACACAAACAATTACAATAAAAAATGGGTTTTATAAATTGAACTAAAAGGGGAACTATACATGCGAAAAACAAGTATTTTTCAAATTTGAATGCATTTTCTGGAAGCTTGGGTAATTTTAGACAATTTTTGCTGAATCTTGAGTAATTTCGACCCAATCATTGGGTATATCAAAATTTGTGAGTGGTCACGCTGCACATGAGCCTTAAGGCAGTTGATAACAAGATACCAATAAAGGAACATACAAGAAAGTCAGAACAGCCTACTGTATATTACTGTCTACAACATATCATTACCCAATGAAAACTATTGAAGAAGTAGTGACAAAACTTCCAAATGCTAAAGTGTTTAGTACATTAGATGCTAGTAGTGGATATTGGCAAATACAGATTGATAATGAAAGTTCTAAACTGTGTACTTTTAATAGTCCTAATGGACGATAAAGATATACTAGGCTACCTTTCGGTATTAAGTCTGCACCAGAGATTTTCCATAGAGTAATGACCCAAATGTTTGAGGATATAGAAGGTACAGAAGTAATAATGGATGATATAATTATTAGTGTAGGGTGTAGATCAGAAACAACAAGATGAATGTCTTGAGAGAGTACTCAAACAAGCTAAAGAACAAAACCTTAAACTAAATCCGGATAAATGTAAATTTGGTTTAAATGAAGTAAAATACATTGGACATATCCTTACATCAGAAGGTCTAAAGCCAGATGAGAGAAAAATACAAGCAGTGCAAGGAATGCGTAAACCTACAAATAAGAAAGAATTACAGCAATTTCTAGGTTAGATAAATTATCTTGGAAAGTTTATATCGCATCTAAGCAATGTCACACAACCACTAAGAAAACTTCTTGAGAAAGATATTGACTGGCAATTGCATGCTGAACATGACAAAAGTTTTGAAGAGTTACAACGCTTAGTAACAGAAGCTCCAGTTCTTCAATACTACGATGTAAATAAATCAGTAACAGTCAGTGTCGATGCATCAAGCACAGGTGGAGGCGTATTGCTCCAGGAAGGACATCCAATAGCGTTTGCATCAACAACATTTACAGAGTCACAAACTAGATATGCTCAAATAGAGAAAGAGTTAGCAGCAGTAGTATTTGGATGCGAACGTTTTCACAAATATCTATATGGCAGAGAATTTGTAGTAGAAAGCGACCATATTAGCCACTTGAAGCTATTATGAAGAAAGCTCTAGCAATGACGCCACCAAGACTACAAAGAATGTTGTTAACATTGCAGAAATACAGTCTCGAATTGATTTACAAGAAAGGTAAAGAACTGTATATAGCAGATGCATTGAGTAGAAATCATCTACCAGATTTAGAAACAGAAAAAGAAATACCGATATACATGGTAACAAATCTACCAATGTCAAAAGAAAGGCTATTAGAAATTAAACAAGAAACTACAAATGATAGCACTTTGACAAAACTAAAGGAAGTTATCAGAAAAGGATGGCCAAGTAACAAAGCGATCCTAGAATAGATACTGAGTTAAAACCATACTGAAACTACAGAGAGGAAATATTAATGGAAGATGAGCTATTGTTTAAGAATGACAGAGTGATAATACCAGCAAAACTGAGAAAACAAATGATTGCAAAGCTTCATGTAAGTCATCAAGTTATTGAAAAAACCAAGAGACTTGCGCGAAATATTATGTTCTGGCCTGGTATGAATGCACAAATAGTGGATACAGCGAGCAGGTGTGAGATTTGTCTAACACACAGAAATCGAAACGCAAAAGAACTGATGATAGGACATGACATACCAACACCTCCATGGCAAAAAGTCGGAATGAATTTATTTCAACTGTACGCAAAAGACTATCTATTGATAGTTGATTACTATTCAGGATACTTTGAAATAAATCAGTTGACAAGTACAAAATCCAATTCAGTCATCAAATTCTGTAAGCAATAATTTGCCAGACATGGAATCCCAAGTGAGGTAGTGTCAGATAATGGACCTCAATTTTCATCAGCGGAATTTAAAGCTTTCAGTAAATCATATGAATTTGAACATATTTTAGTGTCACCAAATTACCCGCAATCAAATGGAAGAGCTGAAAAGGCAGTACAAACAGCAAAGGTGATACTTAAGAAACAGCAAAGGTGATACTTAAGAAATCAAAGGAAGACAAACAAGATCCATATATAGCGTTACTGTACTAAACTATCGCAATACGCTGCGAGATGGTCTACCGTCCCCAGTTCAATTGCTAATGAGCCGTAGAACAAAAACGCAGTTGCCAACGTCAGAGAAACTCCTAAAACCGAAAACTAACAAAAATATTGTCAAAACGCTACAAAACAAACAAAATAAACAGAAAAAATATTACGATCGTGGAGCAAAACCTCTCAAAGCACTGAAAAGTGGAGATAGAGTTTGTGTAAGAAAAGATACACAATGGAAGCCAGCGCTAGTTGTTGAAAAACACAATACGCCAAGATCGTATATAGTTGAAAGCGATGGTAGATACTACAGGAGGAATCGTAGAGATTTGATTGAACAAGAAGGATGTCAAAATACTCGACCGGCAAATAGAACCAAATAGCACAAGACAGAACCGACTTCGCTACCCGAAACGTAACAGAAAACCTGTTACAAAACTTGATCTGTGATTATATGAAAAGGGCAGAATAATCCCTGTATAATCACTGTGCCAGGATAGTCTACTTCTGAGCACAAAGGTTAATGAACATCCATTAACAGAATGTAGTTATTATTAGTTTGTTGTATCAAATGAAAGAGAATGTATTGCCTGTTGAGGATTGTTTATTAAGGAAAAGGAAACTAAAGTGCTAAAAAGAAATATTAAGATAAGTAGATTCTGTAAAAAATAAAATATAATAAAAAAATAAAATAAAATAAAAAAAGGGAGATGTAATGAAGGTACTTAAGATTATGAGTGAGCCCTCTATTGTATGATACATAGAGTAAGGACACATGAGCCTTAAGGCAGTGGATAACAAGATACCAATAAAGGAACATACAAGAAAGTCAGAACAGCCTACTGTATATTATTGTCTACAACATGTCATTACATCTGTGTGGCTATTTTTTTCACATTGTAATGCATACCTACGCTCGACGTCAGAGCCAAATAAACTATGTTTTTGTTGGCAGACCACAGAGTTTCTGATAAGTTAATTAACAACTCCCTGGTCTGATGGGTCTGATGACCAGATTATGACTGGATACGTTGATAGCTAAAATAAGGCAGTGGCTAGGAATATGGTACCGTACGCAATCTCGGTGGTTTAACCCTAAACTTCTATATTATTTAGATAGCGTACAGCACCATACTCTTAGACACAACATAAAACAAACTCCATCATATGGCTGACTTTCAGCAAAATAGTGAATGATAATTCATGTGTTTGCATATTATTGAACTTTATAGGGATGGAAGAGTAAGTCAAACATTAATATTAATAATAATGTGAATAAAAAATCATAATACGGTAACTAACAAACTAATTGCTAGGCTGGCCAGGGCTGGTAGTAGGACCTAGTAATAAGTTGTAATCAACAAGTGTATTTAATAAGATTCTATGTTTGTACTGTACATTATATTATATATATTTTTATACTAAGCAATTGTATCTTGTATTTTAACACCTTTTAAATATTTTTGATATGTATGTTGAATCTTGGAAAAAGAATGTCATGTTAAACATTTTAAGTGAACTTGATATTAACAATATTTTATATTCCATATAGGACATGATAATTATGTCAATGCACTTTTTTAAGGCTTACAATTTTGATACTAAGAGTGAATGGAAAAAGAAAAAAACACTAATCCCCTTCTTTCAAGCCACCACCTCTACATATGATGTTGGTTCAGGCATTGATTAAGCATCTTCACTTGTCAAATGTTTACATACAAGAAATATTTTAATAGTTTTACGATACAATAAATAAATGCTACAAAAAATGTAAAATATCAAAATAAATAAAAAGTATATATTTAATATAATATTTTTACACAATATTTAATTAGCATGGTTCACCCAGCAGAGTGTGATACTTTACAACCAAGTCCCATTATGTGGATTTATTTTTGGTTTTTAGAAATATTTGACATTTTTTTTCCCAGATTTGAACATAGGACTATGGGATTGGTAAGGTGAAAATTCACTCCACTCAATTAATTTGTATTAAATATGTAAGTAGATAACACACCATGCGCCACCCTAGGCTTTTATCTAGATGTTTCCCCTGTAATAACCTAAATATCTCTTGAATCATGATAGATGCTACCAGAGTGCCTAGATTCCCCCGGTGTTGTAACTAACAAAGAAAACTCCACCACATTACAGAATCCTGGTTATTAGTCTGATTACAGTATCAGGTTATGAGTGGAATTAAATAGCTTGGTGGTTAAGATGCTTGCCTTCCAATCCAGGGTCATGGGTTCAATTCCTGTCAATTGCAGGACTTTTTCTCACGACCAAAACAACTCCACTCCCTAAGCCTCATATTGAGATTGAGTTT